CCAATTTTTAAATTTTCTGTCTTACTTGAAAACTTTCCTTCCAATAATGGGGTATCCCTTCTTATTTGAACTGCATGCTAGAGATGGAATGAAAGTCTGGATGAGTTCATGAAATATTTTAATTGGACTGCCATTCTAAGTAAGGATTTCCAATCATAAATAGGTTAATCCAATCTAAATTAGACGATATTTGTTGTAGTAGAATGAAAGTCTAATTAAAACATTTCATAAACCCGTCCAGACTTTCATTCCATCTTGAACAAATAAATGTAGTTGGAAGGGAAAGCTCATAATTAGACGGGAACTTATCAAATTAAATTGAAAATTTTAGAATTGTACAAACATTGGAATGATAATTTATAAATATGAAGGAATTTTTTTTTATGGAATGTTTTTAAACTTTCATTTCTCATGGGAATTTTTCTGTTGGTATATATAAAAAAATATATGGAAAATAAAATTTTGCGTTCGGGTTCGGTGGGTTTTGACCCGTGTTCGGGTTCGGTATTTTGCGTTCGGGTTCGGTGACCACGGTGCTACACAGGTTTAGATTATGAGGTGTGGAGGGACCGAGTTGCTAGGGGTATTTGCCTGAACTGTGACAATTATGGTCACATATAAATGTTAGCCGCTCTTACTCGTGCGGAAGTGGTAACTTTTGCCTTCACCACTTCAGACGTTGGTCAGGGCTAGTGACCCATTCATCGCCCTGCAAACACATTCAGACCCACCAATGCTCTATTCGAGAAATGTGTCTGAGTCCTTAGAAGAGTTACAAACTAAGCGGTCAGGGAAGGAACCCAGAGACTATTGGGCGATGATTAGTAAAGGTCCTAGGGATGAACATTTCGTGGTCGAGGTTGATGTAGGTGGCCGCAAAGTGGGTGTCTTCAAAGAGAAAGGATCTACATGAAATTTCATCAGTTGTGCTTGTGTGGACAGACTGCGCTCAGGGGACCAACTGCAGCGGCTTAGCAGATCTGTAACCTCTACACTGATCAACAAGCACAGTATGATTGTCCAAGACTATCTCAAGGACGTAGTCGGCACCTTCTCCTATGGCGGAGGGAACTGAGACATAAAATCTCGTTTCTTGTCAGACAATGTCAGACACGAACTGCCATTTGATATGTTGTTAGTTATGTGTTATCTCGAGGTTGCCCAACCTCAATTCGATTGGGATAGGAAGGTGATAATAAACAAGTTGCCCAATGGTGGAACCGTTAGACTGCAGGAGTTCAAAGTTAGCAGTCTAGTTGAAAACTAATGGTGCATGTGTGCATCTTCTTTCTATAACTATTATAAATTGAATTGCGAGGAGGGCATGTATATAGTCTTTGTCTCATAGAAAGGGGGGGCCTTAAAATGACCGCAAAGATAGAAACAGTCGTTGATCAGTATCTAGACCTTTTTTAGAAGAGCAGTGGTGTGGTAGAAAAGGAGGTTGTCTATGCAATAGTAGTCGTCCTGAGTAGCGAAGTACCTAGAGGACGGATCTATCAACATAAAAATTTTCCAAAATTAAATAATCATTCTAAAGTAAAATTACATTCTAAATTTTAAAATTTCATTCCATCTTAAAAAATGTCATTCCAATTTAAAAATGTTTCATCTTACTTGAAAACTTTCCTTCCAAGAATGGGGTATCCCTTCTTATTTGAACTGCATGCTAGAGATGGAATGAAAGTCAAGATGAGTTCATGAAATATTTTAATAGAGCTATCATTCTAAGTAAGGATTTTCAGTCATAAATAGGTTATTCCAATCTAAATTAGACTTTATTTATTGTAGTAGAATGAAAGTCTAATTAAAACATTTCATAAACTCGTCCAGACTTTCATTCCATTTTGAACAAATATATG